GAAACTTAAGTGATGTCTCAAAACAGATGCCAATAAAAGGAACAAATCTATTACAAGAACTGATTTACATAGCGTATAAATGAAGAAAACATGTAGTCGGGAGAGGCGGTTTGTTTAAGAAACAAAACCCACAACAATCCCAGCTGTAATTCTTCACTGTACTCCACTGTTGGTGCAGAAAACCCACGAGGACGGTGTTATGTACAAAGAAGAAAAAGGTTTTTAGAAGGTTAAGTTCAGGTCACCCGACAAATGAAATTGTAACAACCCCGAGTGACACTGTATAATGTCTTCTTCCACTGAATCAATAGGCCACTCTCTCCACAAATTGTCATAGAGATGGCTTGTTCCTTTCTGTAGGGGGCTGTATTGTTTGATGAGACAACCGATTTCCCACTTGAACTGCATTGTTCTTGAAGAATGCATCCTTTATGATTTTGGCATCTTTAAAAAAAATTAGAGACATCTGTATTCACAGCATCTATCGAGATACAGAATGGACAGGGGGTTTTTGTCGTCCCACCTACCTCCCCACGGGTGGGGGGGGAACCCTTTCAAGTCTTTTGGGGGGATTTACCTCATCATGTAAAGGTTAGGAATGTCTGAGGTCTATAAATTTGCCCCAGGATATTTAGACCTCGGTGAATTTTTCCAGTTAAAATGATCTGTCTAAACCATTAAAGTAGAAAGGGAAGGAAGCAACTCTTCTGACGTTGAAAACAAACTGGTGAGCCATTCCAAAGGAACCTGAACATCCTTTGAATTTTTATTTGTTTAAGAAGAGATTTTCGCAATGGGCGTGCAAACAGCAGCTGCCATCTCAAGGCAGATTTGACAACCAAATCTGAAACTATATTAGCAATATTTAAGCATCTATAGTGTTAATGCAAATTCCTTTGCAGCATCACATAGAGTTGGCACGATCTATAAACCATTGAAACTCACAGTACAGCCAGCAAACATTGCTGGGAGGGGATATTTCCAGCCCTCAAAATCAGAAATGCTTGCACAAATATTTATTTCTGAAGGTTTAGAAGCCTGCTTCCCTCCCTCCCTCCCTCCCTCTCTCTCTCTCTCTCTCTCTCTCACACACACACACACAGCATAACACAAAGCCAGGCCAGCAAATGGTGGCACCCCCAAATCAGGAACTCTAAACTCTCTCAGAAAATCAGTAGATGCATATTAACCTATCTTTGTCATTGGCGGGAGGGGGGGGAGGGAGGGAGGGAGGGAGGGAGGGAGGAAGGAAGGAAGGAAGGAAGGAAGGAAGGAAGGAAGGAAGGGAACTAGAATTTTCTTCTACAACTTTCAAGTATGCCTCCAATTTTGTACAGCTTTGCATTCACGATACAGGTCCAACTAAATATTAATGGCATTTACTTTTAAACTCCCCACCACCACCAATTAATTTGCCTATTTTTTCACCTCCCATGAACCAACCGAAATGCAACAAAAATTACCCCACTTCCAATGCCATTCCTTTGCAGGTTTCAGCCTGGGAACTTAAAAGGAGTGAAGGACGAAGGTGGATCGCTTCAAGGAGCAGTAGTAGTTGGAATGCATTAAAGATTAATTTAAATGAGTTCAATACGATTTCCCCATCATCACGTCCACTAATGGAATATTTATTCTTCCCTAACATATATGCTCAGTGCTGTTACTAACTGACAAAAAGCATCGTTGCCTTGAGAGAGTTTCTGCTTTAAATATTTTCCTTCAAAAGCTTTGGGGCCTCTTATTATTTTTAACCCTCTTTCTTTGCACTACACTGAAAATTAGTTAAGGATGAATTATCTGATAGGGGAAGTCCTATTCATAAAATCTTAAGGAAGTGTATTTAAGCAAATAAGGGACTAAAAGAGAGTTCTCCCTGCAGGCAGGCAGTATGGAAAGCATTTAACCCAGCCAAGGAAAGAAAATCAGAAAACCATCCACCGAGCCTTCTTCCCCGCTTGCCCTGCATTAATTTTAACAAAGATCGCAAGAATGCTTGGCAAAGTACAGTACAGGTTTGGATTTCAAATTAACATTACACGAGATGTTAATCCTTATTCAACCGAAAAGGATGTGTATGTAATAAGGAACATTCAAAGACTCCTAACGCTTCCCATCCCTCTATTTAGAGGTGGCATTCACCTTCCTGAGAAATCCCAGCTATCTCTTATGCACCATGGGATTTTTATTATTATACACATTTTTCCTCCTCATAATTGAGAAATACAACTCCTTTCTAAATATTCCCGGGCATTGTTGGGGCATTATTTTTATCTTTTCATAAAAGTACAGAAACCTATCATAACAGACAAGGTGACCCAATGTGTGTTGGCGTGTAGACAGTGGCAACTCAATGCTTGGACATTAATTGGCCAAGAACTTTTTTTTTTTAACAGACTGGCCTTGGGCAACACAGTATCTGTCAGCCTCAGTTCCCAATCCATAAAATGGGATTATTGCAATGATTAACTATATTTTCTAAATAAGATTAGAAAGTCTGCCCAAGAGGTTTCTGCAATCCCTTAATTAAGACCAATGTATTTATATAAGAGTAAATATTCTCCAACATTATAGAGTAGGGGGAAGATGGGGAAGCGATCAAGCTTCCTGTATTTTGAATGCTTTCAGAATAATTTTTATGTGGTAACAATCTTTAATGTCTGCAAACCAATCCAGTTCTCCATTAAATATGGGACAAGTGAAGTCATTGGAGTGGAATTTCGGGGTATCCTAAACATTGAAGGGCACTGCCCTCAAGTCATTAGTATACCCCATCTAAATGTTCTAAAATGTTCACTATATCAAATAAGACATACTTTTCACGGTTAATTACAAAGTAATAGGAGCTGCTGTTCTTACGTGGTAATCTCTCTCGCTTGGGGTTTGCATATAAACCCCCAACCTTTGTACATGGGTTCAGTTTTCTGTCTTTCCTAACCAATCCATGATCAGCTAAGAACAACGATCACATTTGGATAGACAGGATTACTATGATTGGGTTTATCCATATGGTCCCAGAATGCACACAGATAATTACATTGGCAAGTCATATAGCCCTCCATTCGAATATTATCTCCCAAAGAATTCAATAGGGTAACTTAGGCAAGGCTGCCTCTCCCAGTTTCCCCAATTTGAAAAAAGGGGCATAATAGCACAACTGTAGTTTGCAGGGCTGCTATACAGTTCACAGTCAGGCAATGCAATTAAAGCCTATGAACGTTACAGTATTACTACTATCAGACTGATAACGTAAGCCACTCAGTGTTTTTCAGGAGTCGAGCAGCTGCTAAATTTATTAAAATTATTAAAAGAAAAAATGAACTGTTGCCCATTCCATCTGTGTCAGGACTGTCAAACTCCTGGCCGGCAGACCAGATGCATTATGCGCTGGCCATGCCCACACCCAGTTTACCAAAGGGGGAAAAGTTCTAATATGTCATGTGATGCTGCCGTAACGCCACAAGTTTGACACTCCTGATCTAGGTAGACCCCACAAATTTGATCAAAATCTAAAGTTAAATAAGATTGGGCTCAGTATTTATAGTATTTATTTATATTTATATAAGCAATCCATTTCTCTATTGTTACCCCCCCCCAAAAAAAAAAAAAATCCTACACAGATGTGTCCATGTAGTCAGAGAGCCAGTTTGCACCAGTGAGTGAGGCCCTGGACTAGGACTAAGGAAATTTGAGTTCTAATCCTACCTTAGCCACAAAGCCAACTAGATGGTGAAGGGGCACTCACACGATTTCAGACCCAAGAAGGAAAAAATGGCAAATCGCTTTCAAAAATGATGTCTAGAAAATTGCATGGACTTTTCCACGTTATCCCTGGGAGTCAAGTCTGCCTGGAAAACATGTCACTATAACCACAAAGTCGCCAGGCATCTGAGCTTGATTTGAACAACTTTAGCTATGTCTGGTATATATGCCACAGGTCATCCCCAATTATAAGGGAGAAATTCACCCCTGTGTCTGTTCTGCTGAATTGAAGCATAGAGAATAATCTCTCGTGTGTGCAAAATACGAATGAAAGGAGCATAAGGGAAGCCGCCAAACTCTGGAGAAAGCCTTCCTTATCAGGACTTATAATAGTATGCAGAGAAACCTTGTGTGAGGATCAGAAGACAGAAGGATGGGCTAAAGTAACGAAGTACCAGTTGTTCTTTATGTTCTTGTTTTTGTATGCTTAGAACACAGCACCCAATGCAGAAAAGGGCAGATTTTGCAGACAATGTCCAACAATCCTGCTCGTACAGCTACATAGTCATCTGTGGTTTTCTTTTTACACCACAATTCTCATACTTTAATTTAATCCCATGCAGTTCAGTCAGTACCACTTCTTGCTTACTGTACGCAACACAGGTAAAACAGACGGAATAAACACCATCAAGAGGCATCTGCCTCCATTTTGTAATACTAATAATTAAAAAGTTTGTCAGTACAGTTGACACTTGTATTGTTTAATATTTTAAAGCCATCTGCATCTTTCTTTAATGACAAACTTTGTTACTTCTGGTTAGATAAACCTGGTCACTGATGTATGATAATAAGAGAGAACAATGTTATCACTCTCCTGAAATAAATTAGTTTGGCAGTTTTGTGCTCTGCGTGTTTCATATTGTTTTTTCTTCCCCCCCCCACGCCCCCGCCCGATAAGTTCAATGTCAAATGGCCAACTGAAATTATGTAAACAGTAGGCAGTTGAATCAATTAACAGTCTGGAGCCAACGCCATAGGAACTGCTAGTTTAATGGCCCACTAGATGCAAAAGCCATCAAATTATCATGAACTTTTACACCTAACTGCAATATTATATCACAGAAAAATATCCTTTCTGGTATACTGATATTTCACTTGACAGGTTTTATTTAACGTAAGGATGATTCACAGAATATATTGCATATGATGCAGTCTGAAATCCAGTAGTGTGTGTGTGTGTGTGTGTGTGTGTGTGTGTGTGTGTAAATAAAGTTGGAAAGCACCAATAGGATCTACTGTACCTGACAACTGTATAAAACAGAAGCGATGCTGCAGCTGCCCCCAACAAGGCACAGAGGAGATTGACACGATATGCAGCAGAACCAAAGGGGAAAAGCTCAATGGCCAGCTTAGCCAAAAGAGTGAAGAGCGGGTAGCCCGGAGGATGAGCAACCTGGAAACAAACAAAAGGCTTCTGTTTTGAGACGTCACAATGGCAATCTAATGGAGAAACGGCTTTCTTATTAGCTTAATCATAAACTGTTAGACTACTATGCCTTAAAAAGCTTCTCTCTCTCTCTCTCTCATACACACACACACATTTCTGTTCAGTGCTAATTTTAAATACAGCAAAATGTTTGCCTTAACATATGTGGATGCACAAAATACAGACGAGAGCACATCACTTTAAAAAGTGGTGACATGTATTACTATTATCCCTTAAATGGCTTGAAGTCTGGATTCAGCATGTATTCCGGCCATTCAAAAGGCTGGGTTTCTTTTTATTATACAATTATAAAAGAGAGAAAAGAGGGGAAAAACAGATGCTGAACTATTTTATTGGTTAGCAAGTTGAAAGACCACACTGCTATCGGATTACCACCGTGATGACAGTCCTTAAGGTTTTGCCTAAAGGGGATCATGCGCCTTAATAAAGTTTATTGAATAATAAAACTTATTAAAATTGTTAACCCGATTTATTTTTATTCTCTCCAGCTTATACAAAATTTGGATTGATAATAAGCCAGCTACTGTATATACAGTAAAGCCTTTACTTTATAATTTAGTTTAATTGGATTTAAAACTTGGAGTAAATTGTCGTGTGCCGTACTTATAAGTTAGAAAACTGTGGTTTGAAAATATATTAATCTACTTTAACTCCATGCTTAATTAAACTTCCTTAATTCCTAAAACTGTTAATGAGAGCATTGATTAAACAATACAACTAATACTCACTCCAAGCTCATAGGCAGCTGTGATCAGTTCCCCTGTGAAAAAATAATATAAAACCAATAATTACTATTATGGAATGACACTCCTCCCAAATTTTCAAAATGCAAACCCTTACGTTGGGGGTTTTGCATTAATTTGACTGCATAAAAGTGTAAATCTGTGGAGATTTAGCAGCATGAAATTTTCCGAGAGTATTTTCTTTCCCCTCTGATGTCAATGCACAAAGTATTCTTTTGTCATATTTTCTTGACTCTCCTACCAGCAGAAAAGCGAAGGTGATTTGTAGCTAGGAATGATGAATAACAACAACAAAAACATCAACCTCATTTTTTAAAGTTTGGAGTAATTTAACATAAGGGCAGAGGCCACATGAAAAAGACAAAATAACCGAGAGAATTTGATTTCACAGCTCAGCCTCCGACTTTGTATTATGGATTCTTGATACTGTTCTTTTTCAATCAGTGCGGACTTCTATTTTGGAGCAGGACAATTATCCTAATAAGGATATAGGTTTATTCCCAAGCGCCTTGCAAATTTTATACTAAGTTACAATTTCCCCAGCTTTCAGGGTTTTTTTTACCCATCAGCCGCCCCTACTGAATTTTCCACTGATCATTTTATTAAAAAAAACCCATAATGCAACCGTGTTACAGTTCAGCTTCATTAATATCCTCCTCAGCATGCTGTATCTTCAAAACATTATGTATGTCGGATGGCCCAAGATAAATTTGGTTATGTTTTTGCAAAGAACTTCCAGGGGGTGAGGGAGAGAGAGAAAATTTTCCCTCCTTTGAGGGCCATTTAACTCTCCTCGGTGTTATTTTTAAAAGAAAAAGATTCAGGGATAATTTTTTTGCAAAGTTTATGATTGTACAGGTAGTTCTCAATTAATACAGTTCATGAATTCTACAAACTGGCCACATTATTTGAATTTGCACTATTTGAAGTGACATTTCTATGGAAAATATGATAACTAGTTTCAGTTCAATGGAAATGGGCACTGAAAATTTTTTAATCTAAAGTTTTATATGTATACTAATGAAATGTTACAATAAACAGATCTTTTTCCACAGTTCTGTCATGTCTGAGTATATTACCCAGGTAGTATGGCTATATCACTTTTATTTTCTCATCTGTTTCACTACCTTCTCTGTTGGTATTATTATGATTATCCCTTGTTATTATGATTATTATTCCTTTTTTGTTTTGCACGTACACTGAGAGCTTATGCACTGGAGACAAATTCCTTCTGTGTCCAATCACACTTGCCCAATAAATCAAATCAAATCTAATCTATTCTATTCTATTTGATACAAAGAACATACATAAAATTTAAATGTAGGATTAACAAAGTCATAGAGTAGATACAGAAAGCAAAAAAAAAATCTATAGATTTCAGCATTCCAATATCTTGCCCTATTTTAGCATTGTTATGACCACGATTGTATAGTTCAATCACATCATTTTTTTGATCAAATGTAATAATAATTTTTAAACTTGTATTGTTTTGTGCATGCACTAGCACTGAATTTTTGGCTTGGATTAAATGTAACTTAGTATCAATTTACAATCGCACTTAATTGAATGTTGCATTACAAGTAGACCTTGTTTAAGAATTTCCTCGTTTAATGACTATCTAAATTTATGACAGCGCTGAAAAAGTAACACATGTCCAGTTCTTAACACCTATAACTGTTGCAACCTCCCCATGGTCATGTGATCAAGACTTATTTATGGAAAGTTTATACCGCCCATCTCTCTGCCAAGCAACTCAGGGTAGTTTACAATAACTATAAATAGCAGAATAAAACAATTATAGGTTAAAACATTAGGCAATAAAAGTTAAAACATTAAAAATTAATATTAAAATGGATAAAAAGCCACTATATAGACCGAGTGAAAGTGAGATCTTGTACTAGTATCCTAGCCACCTTCAAAATGAGATGCCTCCAGCGGGCCACAACCCAGTTGACAAAGCCAAGATTTCAGGACCTTTCTGAAGGCTATAAGGATGAAGAATATTAAAAAGGGTAGGAGTCACGGTTATGCAGCCAGCAGGCATTTACCATCTTTGCAGCATCCCAAGATCCTGTGGATGCCATTTAGACTTCCAACAAGCTTCAAACAACCAGAGAAATGAAGAAGCCAGGATTACAACTATGAGTTATGGTCACCTAATGTTTTGCTTAACAATGACTTGTTGAACAACCGAATCCAAAGTGATGCTGTAAATATGTCAGACACGTGATATTTCCCTTAGTGACTACATCGCTTAGCAATGGAATTGACGGTCCCAACTGAGGTCGTTAAGCAAGGACTACCTACATCTGAACATGACCTACTTATATATAAAGACATATTAGTCATACTGCTGGGAGATATTTTTTATCGTAATTTTATCAAGAATTGTCATTGCAACAATAAAAAAACAATGCTAAAAAAAGGAAAAAAAGGTTGGGGGAAAGGAAAAATAGAAAAAGAAATAGAAAAGAAAAAGAAGAAAAAAGTAAAGAGATATAAATAACTTCCCATCCTCAAGTGCAAATAATTTTAGTAATTTATCACCATCTCATAAAATGCAACGTATGATCTATTTTTCCTACACCTCATCCTTTATCCATAAACAAATCCATAAAACCTCATCATTTCAGCCCTGATGTCAGCAAAAATCCATTAAGGATTACCAGAGATAACAAAATATGTATTTTAGCCAAGTTGGTTTATATGATCAAATAAACCAGCTTTAGATGCCTTCCTTTTACTTCTAACAGTCTTGATCTTTAGTGTCATCAAGTAATATAGATTTCTTTTCATTTCTTCTTTGTTCCTTCTCACAAAATTCTTTGAAACTTTAACAAGTTTATTTTGTGAATCCAATGTAGAAAAATTATCTAAGTTACACTTTTGGTTTGTTGTTTGTATATTCTTTTTTTATTACTAAGACATCAGCCAGTTTCTTTTGCATGTCCAAATAACATCTTTTTCCACAGCACTCTTGTAGCCTGTTATTTTTAAATCACCTTTCAACTCTGTCTCATTTGTGTCAGATAGAACTTGTTCCTCTTCCATAACCTTCTAGGCACAATCTAGCTACAAAGGCATACACTAACTTTTGGAACCTTTGTTCAAAACTATCTTTCAATATGTCCAATGTTAAAATATTTTACTTCATTTTGTAATTATAAATTAAGTTTGAATGTTCTTCTTTAATTGTAATCTTTAGTTCCTTCTACCTACTGTCCCATTTTTAAAGTCATCTCCTTTTTGTGTTTTTTTTAAACAGAAACTTTTTCCTAAAGGGATGATTCTTTATAATGAATTCCAAAATTTCATTTTAAAAAAACTTAAATTTATAGTTAATATTCCTTTTACTAAGGATTGAAGGAAACTCAATTGATGCTGTAAAACTTGTCAATCCATTTCCAAAACCTATCAGAAAAGAAAGTTGAGAACTTAGTGTCCTTTCCAAGGTAATGACTATAGTTTGATCAAGATGGTTATTCCTTTATCTTCCAGAGCTCTGAACCTGTTGGAGATTGCTGCCTTGAGATCTCCTTACAAGAAGCAACTCTATGGTGCAATTTGTGGGCTATCTCAAGTCCTCTCCTTGTCCAGGGAGCCATTTTTCATTCCATTGAAGTCGTTTTTGTGGAGCCATCTTCAGTTCACCATTTCTTTCTCAGAAGTCCCATACTGCTGGGAGATCCAATAGGGCCCTTCGCTTTAAGGGAGCCTTTGAACCGAGCAAAATTGCAAAGCAGGGAAGGTGCAGCAACCACCTTTCCAATCCAAGTGGTTTCCAGGAACCTCTAGAAGCCAGCTTAGAGACCAAGCTTCAGGTGAAGACCCTCCTCAACCCTTTGCAGAGCAGATGATGCATCAACCCAACTAAATGAATCCTGGGATGCAGCATGCCCCCCTTGCATAATCCACATTCTTGGCCCCATTTTACAGCTCAGAAGCTGAAGGTAGGAGGTGATGTTATGCCTAATGCTACTTGACAAGTTCATGCTATGGCAGATGCCCAACTTTCAAAGATGTATTATTTCTGTTTGACCTATTTCTTTACTTCTACCTCTTCATTAAAAGAACTTGAAGCAACCTATAAGAAGCATAATGAAAATACAGGGGAAATAAGTAAATTGCAATGCGAAGCATTAGCTATAAAACATATATATTTAAAATGCTGGAAGAAAAAACATCATAGGTAAATGCAAAGTTCACATACAAACCATGTGTGACTGTTGTACGCCACCCAGAGTCACTTTCCGTGAGATGGGTGTCTATATAAATTTGATTCATCAATAATAAAATAAAATAGAACAAAACTACTCTGAACTGGGATATGTCACAAACAGATATGAAGAGACAATGAAGCCAGACTAAATTCAGTATCAAATTGGTTCAAGAGCACAGAAATTTTTAAAGGGAATATGAAATTGTATCATATCAATATCATGCTATGGTCATTCTCATAAAATGACCATCACTGAGGGTGGGGCCTGCTGCAAAATACCCAGAAGGCAAATTAATGAAGATTTTTCTTCTGCCCCACTCCCAATCAAAGATTTCTGGGGAGCTAAGTATTTTTCCAAAGAAAAGAGAAAAACTACTAGATCCAAGTCTATATACATATTCCATTTTAATTTTGTAAAATCGTGTGCAACCTACACAGAGCCCAGGGGTTTTCCTATATAGAAAAATATTTTAGAGATTAATGATCAGGTTTCCACCTACAGGCAACTGTTTAGGGCAACTACATTAACTATTTATAAACTGCTCAGGCAAACTAACATAAAATCCAAGAACTTCCAATAAGAATTATCTAGTGAAGAATGTCAGACATTCATAACAGATAAAATATTCAGTCACAGATAAAATATGAGCAGAAAGAAAGTGCTAATGCAGGCAGGTCCTGTGGTAGCATTAGAAGCAACAGAAAGTAGAACATAGAAGACTAGTGTCAGAAGGGAGGTCTTTGGAAGTCTTCTAGTCCAGTTCCCTACAATAATTTTGTAAGAATTTAGAAGACTATAGCAGTTTATGCCATCTTGCATAACATCGCTTGCTGTGCTATGCAGCCTTCTTACTTCATATATAAGCAAGAACTGCCATCTTTATGATACTAGCAAAAACCCCAATTCTTTGCTATGTATTATCCTCTCTGTGCCTAAAGGAGGCTTTGAAATGTATGTCAAATGTCTTCCACTTGTGCCGATTTACTCAACGATAAAGGTGATAATCTCGTTCAGGGTTTCCCATGTTTATAGAACATGGCGACTCACCGCATAAAAGGCCAATTCAACTTGATCACTGTCTTTGATAAGTTATTGCCTATATGTTGTGATTTTTCTTTTCTAAACAAGGAGCCTCACCTTTCAAAGATAACGCCCTCTACTTCCTTACCTTGATAATTGCAAAACAATAATTCAACTATTTTACAATACCTTTAGAATATGATCTAATGTGATGGAACCTACACAGGGTCAATGCTCTCTGACATCAGGACTCCTGCCTTGACTGATCACTGTATTCCTATGCTAGCTTAATAAACCAGTTTTGTTGGATCTCTCCAGTCATTGGCTGAAGTCAGTTTTTCCACCATTGTCCTGACCCCTTTATATTCTTTCTTGAAATCGGGTTGACAGGCTTAAATGCCAATGTCCTTGCACAGCCTTCCTGATAATTCATCTAGTGTCTAATGTCCCACAACATATCAAAAACTTTTCCATGCTGCTAAAATTTCAGTTATGGGTGAGTGGGGGGGGGAAGCATAACTACACAGCAACTACACTCTCTCCAAGCCCTTCTTCCCTTTTCTAGACAGATCCGTACTGTTGTTGAAGGAATCTGTCAACATGGGTCTTCAGGATTTGTCTCTATTAGGATTATTTTGGTCTTTACTGCTATGCAGGATTGGTACAATCAATCATTTACTCCTCACATACAGCCAAAACATCATAATCTACTTTATTGGCTCAGGGGAAGAATCAAAAGACAGCGTTATTTCTACACTGTTAAATAAAAGGGAAGAAAGGAGGATTTCAATTTGCATAAAATTTGCACATTGATTCATATGTACAAATGCACACCTTAAATTTCTTGAGGGATCTCGCCCATAAAACTGGGATCAACTCCCTTTCTCTTTGGGGAAATCTGACAGCCTTTTAATAGAGAGTTAATGACCTTTTTTATTTGATTAGCAGGTTCATATAGGTCCTGGTTGTTCTAACTTACTCTTATTTCACTGCATGGTCCAGATTAACACCCATTTTAATAATTATGGATGTAGAAGTCTTAGTCTTATCTCAGACAACTGTTTTAAGCTGGAACAATAATATTTGCATACCGAGTTCTAAGCAAATTTTATTGAAGCAATTTGTCATTACTTGGGGAGGGGTTGCTTATTTTGTATTGTGCCTCGGTAAAGGTACATTATTATCATTATCATTATCAACATCAACACCACCACCACTATTATTATTATTATTATTATTATTATTATTATTATTATTTCTGTAACAAGAAAGATAGCCTACTAATAAGGAACCTGTATGTTTTGCTGCACATCCTGCTTGCAAATTAAGAGACAAGATTCCAGCTCTTTTTTATGGGTGTTGATCGGACAGTTTTTAAAAGAGAGGATACCTTCAAATACATGGGGGAACATAGGGCATATAAACAAAAAGATCTGGAGGACACATATCAATTCCCCCCGACCATTGGTCATGCTGGTTAGAGATTATGGGATTTATGTCCAAAATATCTGGAGCGTAGCAGCTTGCCTGTCCCTAGCTTAAAACTGTCAAAGCTCCACAGAGCATTTCCTGAGTCATATTCCTTTTCATGTTCAATACAGATTTACTCATAAGATTATATTTAACAGTCCCGCATGTGTGTAGCCATGAACAAAACAGATGCTGCTAATGGAAAAGGGCTTTCTCTCCCTCTATAGCAGCTTGTACACCCTCCAAAAGCATCCCGGAAAATTAGGGGAAAATTCCAGAGCATATCTGGAGGATGCTTTATGAAAGAAAGAATTAATTCCAACTGCTGCACCACTTAATATTTACTTCCATGGTTTTGAAAAATATCATTAATCTTGAATACGCATTTTTAAAAATCTCCTTTTAAATCAGTGCTACAACTTAGAATTGGGGGGGGGGAGAGAACTTTGCTAGAGTTTCCAAATTTTGCATTGCTTTTCTTTTAAAGTATTTAAAAGAATACTTTAAAATCTATTTTTATAGTTCTGAACAATGGATGCATTGATTTTTAATTTTGCTGATGTTATTCTGCTGCTTTTGAATTATTTTGTCTGAGTTAGCTTCCTTGATTGGAAGTCTAGCCTGCTATAACAAAGTTCTCTGGATGTTCTCATCCTTCATGGTGGCTTAAACTGGATTCCAGCTCATTTAAAAGACAAGGAAATGACAAAGGTGAATGGTGTAAACAGAAAGAGAGATTCCCTTCCTTCCTCCCTCCCTTCCTCCCTTGAATTATAGCCTAACCTTTCTCAATATGGCTCTCAACATGCCATACTATATTATAATATTATAACATATTATAACATGCTAGACCAATACTGGAATACATCTCACCAGTCTGGAATCCGCACTGT